TGTTTTTTTCTGACTCAGGGGTAAATACACAATATTATCAATACATTGCTGGCACTTATATAACCTTTTGGCTTCTCTTCATCAACCTGTTAAAAGTAGTAAATGCTACAGACAAGTTTTTCCTAAAGTGACCCATTCTTGCATTCTTGGGAGAAATCCTACTAGATTATTATTATTTCAATTCAATTATTTTTTATTCATGAAATCAAAAGCTATGCTCAAAACAAAGGTAGTTTTCTTATGCTGTCTTTGTCAAATATCATAACTAGATTTATTCTGATTTGGCTAACATGAAATAATGATGCCTTATCTTTTTTTACATTCTAAAATAATTTTCAGTAGGAACTAGTAGCTCCTTAAAGGTTTATTAAGATAGAACTTGAACATAAAATCATCTGGTGCTTTTTGGGAAAGGAGAGGGATCTTCTAGTGTATTTACATTTTCCCACAGTTGTCTTCCTAGTTTTTTCTTTGGGAGATGGGTAATTTCCTCTCTGAGCTTTCAAATGTAATGGTACAAGTGGTGTAAGTGTGTAGTTGCTCAGTTGTGTCTGACTCTTTGAGACTACATGGACTGTAACACACCAGGCTCCTCAGTCCATTGAATTCTCCAGGTAAGAATACTGGAGTGGGTTGCCATTCCCTTCTCCAGGGGATCTTCCCGACCCAGGGATGGAACACGGGTCTCCCACGTTGCAGCAGATTCTTTACCAACTGAGACCAGGGAAGCCCTGTGGTGGTATACACAATATTAATTAAAATTTTTGAAATATGTTTTCCTAACCATAATTATACATTATTTCCAATGTTGTTTATTTGTGCCTCTTCCTCTTACCCCAATCACATTTGCCAATGATTTATTTCCCTCTTTTTCAAAATAAACTTTACCTTTTAAAGAGCAATTCCCCCTCACCAAAAAAAAAAAAGAGCAATTTTAAGCTCAAAGTTGAAAGTACAGAGGTTTCCTATATAGCCCCTGCCACTATACACACACACAACCTCTCCCTTCAGCAACATCTCACATAAGAGTGGTACATTTGATGCAATGAACCTACACTGACACATCACTGTCACTCACAGTTTACATTAGGTGTGAGGTCTGGTGTTGTACATTCAATGCATTTAGGTAAATACATTTAGGTAAATGTATAGCTGACATATCTTAACAGTTTCATAAAGAACACTTTCACTGCCCAAAAGACTCTTTTGGATCCCTCTAACCTCTGGCAACCACTGATCTTTTCATTATTTACATAATTTTGCCTTTTCTAGAATATCATACACTTGGGGTCAAACAGGATGCAACTTTTTCAGACTGGTTTCTTCCACTTACCAATACTCATTTAAGGTTCCTTCATGTCTTTTCATGGCTTGATAGCTCTCTTCATTTTAGCAATGATATATTCCATTGTCTGGATGGGCCACAGTTCATTCATTCATTCACCGACTGCAGAACATCTTGGTTGCTTCCAAGTTTTAGCAATTATGAATATAGATGCTATGAATACCCATGTGCAGGTTTTGGTGGTCACAAGTTTTCAACTCATTTGGGTAACTACTAAGATGCGTGACTGGATTATACGGTAAGAAACTTCCAAATTGGAAGCAAAGTAGCTGGACCATTTTGCATTCCCAACAGCAATGAATGAAAATTTCTGCTGCTCCACATCCTCATCAGTACTTGGTGGTGTTTTCTGGATTTCGGCCACTCTAACCAAGGTGTGTAGTGGTAATTTCAACAATCCCATTTTAATGAGCAGTACCCTAATGATGATATGTGATGTTAAATATCTCTTCATATGCTTACTTGACATCTGTATATCTTCTCTGATAAGGTGAGTATTAAGATTTTTGCCCACTTTAAAATTGGGTCTTTAGCCTACTACTGAGTTCCAAGAATTCTTTATGTATTTCAGGTAACAGGTGTTGCCAAGTATTTTCTCCCTAGGTCTTGTTTTCTCAGTCTCTTGATTATTTCCCTTCATCCATTTCAAAGATCAGTTTACTTCTATTTCCTAGTTCACTAATGCTGTTTTTATCTTTAATAACTATTCTACTCTCTGAGTTTATTTTATACACTTTTCTAACTTCCTGTTTCAAAGGTTCAGTTTGTTTTCTACCTATTTATCTTTTCTTATAGATACTGACTATAAATTTCACTGTACCTCTTCAGCCACAGTCCACATCTGTCCTCCCATTATTTAGTTCTAACTATTTTAATAATTTCAATTTTGGATTCTGAGTTTTTTGCAAGTGTGAAAATAGAACCAACGTATCAATTTTTCTTGGAATGTATTATAGCCCAGAATGTGACCAATTTGAAAATAACATACTCTGAAGGATACACAAAATACCAATACATATTTTAAACTCTTAAGTTTATTTATTGACACCAGCCTAGAGAGACAGCACCCACAAAACAAGAATAAAGTTATTAAAATGAGTAAGTTGTATACTGTTAAACAACTCAAGATGGCTAAACAGCTGATGCAGTAAGAAAAGCAAGTTAGTGAATTAAAGGTAAACCTGAAGAACTTTCACAGACCTAAGTAGAGAGACAAGCACAGAAGAAGCATTTTTTTAAAAAGGTGGAAAAGAGATCCAGAAGTTTCAACATATAACCAACAGGAATTCTAGAAAGCAACAAGAGAATGGAAAAAAGGTAATATTAAACAAATAATAGCTAAGAATTTCCCAAACTAAAAACATGAGTCCTCAGAGTGCCCAATTAGCTGTATTTTCCAAACTTACTCCACAATTTCAAACTATTAAGAATTTCTCTTTAGGGAGGGGACACATGTATGCCTACGTCCTATTCATGTTGATGTATGGCAGAGGCCATCACCATATTGTAAAGCAATTATCTTCCAATTAAAATTAAAAAAAAAAAAAGAATTTCTCTTAGAGCACTAAAGAATGTATTGTTCTGGAGCGAGGAAAAAAGTAAATCTCGAGAAAACAGTGGGATGCAAAAAAAAAAAAAAAAAAAATTAGCCAAAAAACAAAAGAGGTTAAATATACTGAGAGTAAAAATGCTTAACATTAAATTAAAACTTCAAATATATCAACTTATCCAACTGAGAGAGGAAAGGGGGAGGACAGAGAAGAAAATTATGCTATAGTTTTTTTTCTTGTGTAGGACATGAATATAAATAGTATACTGTTATAAACTTAAGTATGCATTTACAAACTATAAGGGTGATCACTTAAAAAACTGAAATAAAATATATAACTCTGAAATTATTAGGGGGAAAAAAGGGAAAGGAAACTTGATCAAGCCAAATAACTCAACAGAAAACATAGTAAATATAAAGCACAAATCAAGGAAATCAATAACTAAACCTAAACTTCTTAGTAATTACAAAATAAAGTATAGCAGTGCTACTATCAGACAACATAGTATATAATGTGAAACATTGTATGAGGCAAAAAGGTATTGCATACTGATTTAAAAACACTAAAGATTTACAAGTACTCAATAATGTATCTTCAGAATACACAAAACAAAAACTGGAATTACAAGGAGAAACTGAAATGTTCACACATACTAGAAGTTTCCAAAAGTTACCTATTTCAAATCATACTCATCACACTTAAGTATAGTATTGAGCTGAAGAATGCTTTCAACAGCGTCCCCTCAGCAATGCTGCAGAGCAAACCTGAGAATGTCTTTGGAGAGACTCACTGATAAGAAACTAAGTATAAGTGAGCGCAGTTCAGCAGAGGAGTGTCAGATGTAAACAACCAAAGCTGCCTTTTTCCTAACAGAGGTGTCATAAAGTAAGTTTGAAAACAAACTTGACCAAAATTAAAAGTAGCGCTGATTTTCTTCAAAAAAGAAGGCCAGATCCATGCAAAAAACCACCACACTAGTCAAAGAGCATTTTATTCTTCAAGCAGCTGGGAAAGTTTTACAGTATGTGTCTAAGAACATAAGCTTTGGAGTCCAACAAATCTGAGTTAAGTACTAACTCCTTGTGTTACAAAACTCATACAAATATATCAAGCTCTAAGTCTTAGGGTCTAAACTATTAAGTGGGGATAATAATTTGTAGCTCCATAAAGCTATCACTAAGATAAAATGAAATAATGCCTGGCACAGAGGGCTCAATAATTAACAATTATTGTTGTTACTGTTATATTGTATTGCAGTGCAAGATGTGAGAAACTTCGTAATATTCTTGGTATTAATTAACATCTGTTTTGCAAAACATTTTTGATTTTAAAGTTACACGGGAAATACTTTCCATTTATTTCTCATAACACCTGGATTCTCAGGTTGTAACAAAAACCGTATGTAATTTTAAAATTAAAATTAGAATTGCTAATTTTAGACTGATAGAATAAATAACTGCTCTCATCCTATTACCAAGTGCTCCAAATTTCCAATCTAAGAAAGAGAAAAAGATAAAGGCGGCACTATTACGGTCATTCTCCAGTCCTAGTAATTTCTTGCCTTTAGAACCAGAAACATTTCCAGAGAGAAAATACCCAATGGGATTTAGTTCTGTTCTGAAACCAGAGAACCACTCCTAACAGCTGTTTTAGTGGTAAGGATACCCTGAGCAACTTCTTTATATTTATTAAAGAAATGTCATTATTATGCCTACAGTAGATTTAAAAGTTTACAGGCAAGCAAGTTTTAAGTAATTAAAGGATGATCTTATTCATGTGTTTTAAGACTATATCAAGTCCTTAAAAAACAAAGAAAAAAACACCTCCTTTTAGTTCTCAGTACTCAAGAGGATGTATTATAGAAGATACTGAAGTAGAGTCCCCACACCTCACCTCCAAAGTAAAAGAAGCAACAAGCCTGAGTTCCCTTAACACTAGGTTTACTGCAAAACTTACAGATGGGGAACATATCAAAGCAAACACTACTCACACACGGGTTTGTTCACTAAGTATATAAGTCAATCCCTTACTGTGTCTCATAAACTCAGTGCAACAGGCTTTCCATAATTACTTCTAAGTATAAAACTCACAATATAGTTCCTTACCTTTCCATTAGCTTCTCTTTATCCCAATTGAAGTGGCTAAGGAGTATTCTTGTGATAGTTGCTGGATTCTAAAGAAGGGGGGAAAAAAAGTCATTTTAAGGTAATAGCACTTATTGACATTTAGTGAGGTTTTTTTAGGTTGAACTTACTCTTCTATAACACCCCACCCAAATTACCTTTCCTAAGGTATTTTTTTATTCCCCTAAGAAAATACAAAATTTTAAGATCAAGACTATTTACAAATAGTTTGTCACACTAATGTCATGTTTCTATGAGATTCTAAAGCAGAATTCACAATAAGCCACGAAGAAATTAAATGAAAAACTACTGTATTAAATCAAGCACTAATAAAGTGAACTTTTTTGCACTTAGATTTAACAGACTGCCACATCAACACATTGTAAATCAATAAAATTTCTAATATTTCATGTACTGAATATGTTCTAATCAGTCCAAACCATTTTTAATTCAAAAGGCCCATACTTAATGAAAAAGACAAAATACCTGCACTGTGAAATAATCTATAGAGTATCATCTGTAACCACTATTTCATTCCTCAAAGGAAACCAGAGTCCAAAGTTTACTGCTCCATCATCATCCAGTGATGTCACAGACCCTCCCGTTTCCCATGAAACTAGTGAACAGTATTATCTCAGTAAGATGATGGGGCCTAGGAGATGAAGGAAATCCAACTTATTCAAAGACACTAGAGCTAGTTACAATGTCAGAAGTGAAATTCAAACCTGAGTCTGCTTATCTGTACTTTATGCATGATTTTATTATATCAAGTAACATTTCAAAAATGGTCTCTGCACATAAACCACTTTTATGTCACCAGAGTTAAGACCGCAATGTTTCGGAATGTTCCGGCACAGTAAGTGTTTGGGCTTCCCTGGCAGCTCAGACAGCAGAGAATCCGCCTGCAGTGCAGGAGACCTGGGTTTGATCCCCGAGTCTGGCAGACGCCCTGGAGAAGGGAATGGCAACCCACTTCAGTATTCTTGCCTGGAGAATTCCATGAACAGAGAAGCATGGCAAGCTGCAGTCCACGGGGTCGCAGAGAGTCAGACACGGCTGAACTAATAACACACATCTACTGATTTAGTTTAAAAGCAATCCTGTATAAAAATGTCATGAAAGAAATCCCTATCAATTATTCTTAGTAATACCATTTGTCACAAAAATTCACAGACATCCACATTGCTGCTGCTGTTTAGTTGCTAATTTGTGTCCGACTCACCTTTGGCAAAAAAGCCAAAGATGCAGATATGGTTAAGTCCCAACCCTCTGCTCCAGGCACATTTTGCTAATCCATCTAGCTTTTCCTTACTTCTTAGACCCAGACTTTCTTAATAATCTTCCTTCAACACACCATTTGAGAAAAACACTGTCAATCTATAAGAATAAGTGAAAAGAAACCTATTAGCTCACCCTAAATTATAATATTTGTACAGAATACAGATAGTATCATATATCCAGCTCTTTTACAGTAGGATTGTGGGCTTCCCTTGTGACTCGGCTGGTAAAGAATCCACCTGCAGTGCAGGAGACCTGGGTTCAATCCTTGGGTTGGGAAGATCCCCTGGAGAAGGGAACGGCTACCCACTCCAGTATTCTGGCCTGGAGAATTCCATGACTGTATAGTCCATGGCGTCACAAAGAATCGGACAGGACTGAGCAAGTTCCACTTGCCTATAACTGAAATAGTTATTCAGTCACATTTAAAATAAGGGCAATAATCCCATCAATTGGGGAAATTTCGTAGTACTCATTGGGATTTTGCAACTATAACTTTGGGACATCCAACACACTATACATTCTCTGCCACTGGGGAAAATTTTTCAGGAATTGTTAAGTCTCAACTTGCAAACAGAAAAATGGGAGAGGTGGGGAAATGCCCTCTTTGACCTAATGCTGCTAAGTGCCTTTTCTGTGTTTGAGATCCCACATCAAAAACTGGTCTCGTCTAGAGATTCCAAACCTGTTTTATTGATTCTTCAAAAATAACTACGGAATGTTCTGTTAAAAAACTGATTCCTAGGTTCCACCCCCAAATGTGCTTGTTGCCAAAGGGATTCAGAACATTAGACCAGTGGTCCCCCAGGATGAAGAAAACATGACAATCTTTCTGGTTTGGGCTGTTCAAAAATTTCTGTGTAGGTGTAACGTGTTTGTTTAGTAATGTACAGAGGGACCTCCCTGGCAGTCCAGTGGTTAAGACTTCACCTTCCAATGCTGGGGCCACAAGTTCAATTCCTGGTTGGGGAGCGAAGATACCACAGGCCTCAGGGCCAAAAAACCAAAATACAGGGAATTCCCTGGCTGTACAGTGGTTAAGACTTCACTTTCCAATGCAGTGGATGCAGGTTCAATCCCTGGTCAGGGAGCTAAGATTCCACATGCCTCTTGGCCAAAAAACCAAAGCATAAAACAGAAGCAATACTGTAACAAATTCAATAAAGACTTAAAAAAATAATAACGTACATACTTTATTGGAGGTACATGCCAGAAAATTTTTCCCAGAAGAATACTACTGGAAAATTTGGATAAACCACATCATAATGCCACAATAGCTATATTCTGCCAGTGAGCTATACTTCGGGGCAGAGAATACTAGATAAATATATTTGCATCACTATCTCAGTGCAGCTGGATCAAGTCATTTATGTGCACTGAATAAAAGGAAAGGTGATGGAAAAATAATGTTCATTATACATCTACTGTATTTCGGACCCTGTTTAAGAACTTCCCAGTTGGTGCTAGTGGTAAAGAATCTGTCTGCCAATGCAGGAGACATAAGAGATGTGGGTTCAATCCCTGGGTAGGGAAGAACACCCCTGGAGAGGAAATGGTAACCCATTCCAGTATTCTTGCCTAGAAAATCCCATGGACAAAGAAGCCTGGCAGGCTACAGTCCACAGGGTCGAAAACAGTCGGACATGACTTAAGAGACTGAGCACACATGCACAGCAAAGTATTTTACATACCTCATGTAATTCTCAAAACACTCTGTAAGGTAAACATTCTTACTTCCTATTTTAAATATGAGAGAACTATGACTAGGCTCCAGTAGTATACAAAAACTACTCAATATCATACCTCTAATTAAGTGCAATAGTTGGAAATTCTAGCCCAGGACAATCTGGATCTAATATTCCTTCATTTATTCCACGTAGGTGAATCCAAAGGAATATTAAAGATCTTTCTTACATAGGTTTAAATATCTTTTATATCCTCCACAATAGGGTAATTCAAGGCAGGATGAGGAGGGGATGACAGAAAGCTAAAAGGCACAAGGGCATTTGAGGGACTGAAAAATGTGATGGTTGGTTACATGAGGGAAAATTTTTATCAAAACTCAAACTATACACTTAAAAATGGGTACTTTTAGTCAAATAAAAGTTACATATCATGTTTATTTTTATTTAAAAATGGAGCAATCTGACTTTTGGTCCTGGCATCTCCTTCCCACCAATTACAACTAAAAACTGCACAAAATACAACTAACAAGAGTCCTCTAACAATTAAATAACAGCAGGGAGATTGGGGAGAACAGGGAAGAACAACAAACAGATGGTAATGCCCATCCTGTTTGTTTTATCACCTTTATTTCCTGGCTTGGACACAAGTGTGGGCCAAATAAGCATAACTGTGTAACAGGCATGATCGGCAAAAACTGAGACAAGGGCACCTTCTCGGTCAGAGGACTAGGGCAAATGCGCCTGGAAAAGTCGGGGAGAATACTCTTCATCTTCCTTTACGTATTTCTCCCAGCCTCGGCCTGAGACCAGTCCCAGCCGTGGAACTACACTACTGCAGAGCGCAGAAAACTACCAGGGAAAACCCACTGCTCTGAACAGAGGAACAAGGAAGAACTCTGCGGTGAAAAGTGTGAGAGAACCCCTATTATTTTCTTTCTTTCTCTTGCCACTTTACCTCAAGGCATGACGGGCAGAAAACTAAAACTGAGAGAACTCCATACATTCAGATAGAGGAATAAAGAAAAGGGCCCCTGGGAGACAGAGGAAATCACTGTAAGGAGAGAGATGCAGAAGCAGATTCCTAGTTCTATGATGAACCAAGTCCTGGGCTCACATGCAAGCAATCCATGTGTGGAACAGCCAAAGAAGAACAGGAGAAGCTTCCAGAACAGAACTATGAATAAATAGTTGCCCAAATCCTAGATCAACCTAGTGGGAATGGGAGGGGCAAAGTGAACACAGCAAAGATTTAGAAAACTGAACAGATAATGGAATCAACCTGTACATAAGGTGAGAAAGAACTCCAGGTAGAACCTAACTGGATTGACTTGTTTACTGAAACAAATAAAAGATCCTTACCATTTTCGAAAGGATTTTAAGAAGACACAGAATCTCACACAACATACTATACACTCAAGAGAGAACACGGAACTACCAGAAACAAAGTAAGAATGATAATACAAATATGATCAACTATCGAGGGAGAAGACAGTTACCTGAGTCTGACCCCAAGACGACCCAGACATTAGAATTATCAAAGACTTTTGGAACAGCTGTTAAAAACATGAACATTAGGTAAGGGTGAACCTTAAAATGAAAGAAAGAAATTCTTAGGACAGAAGCTCAAATTATTTAAAAAAAAAAAAAACAACGTAGAAGGACTAAATGGAAAATTTTAGGACTAAAAAGCTCTAAGACCACTGGATGGGCTCAAGAGCAGAGAGGAGATGACAAAGCAGTCAGTGAACTCAAAGATATGTCAATAGCAAGAATGAATGAGTGAGTGTGTGGGTGTGTATGAACTCTTGGGGCCCTGTGGGATAATATCAAAAGCTACCAGCCTAAAATTCTATATTCAATGAAAGTATTGTTCAGGACTGAAGCAAAGGATATTCTCAGATGGAGAAAACCAAGAGAACTCATTGCCAACAGACCTGCTCTAAAGGAACTGCTAAAGAAGTTCTCCAAATAGAAAGGGAATGGCAGCAGAGAGTAACCCAGAATTTCAGGAAAGAAGGAAGAGTAAATGAGTAAATATCATAGTCTATTTTTCTCCTCTTATATTTCGGAAAATATACAGAACTGCT